GTGGTTTCAACCGGAGACAACGTCGGAGGAGGGAGATCGGAGCCTCCAAAGATCCGATCGGATCTTCTTTCTTCACCGGCGATGAATCTTACCTTGTCTCGGGATTCTAAGCACACCGATCGACTCGTAAGGTTGAGAGAAGAAGTTATATGGTGGTTAGGACCTCTAATTCTTCCTAGATCGACCAATTTTTTTTTGGTTTATGAAAACGGGTCTAAAATGGATCTCTTTTAATTAAATCGTTTTTTGATGTCATTGGGTCGAGATTTTTGAATGGAATCACTCATAGGAGATGGGCGATTAGGTCTATGGTGGTAGATCTTGTGTTGGTGATCGAAATTGAGAGAAACAATTGGGTATTTTTATAAGTCGGGTCGTGGTGGTTTAATCTTCAATTTCTCTCTCCTTCATGAGTTTTTCTCTCTCTAATCGGTATGGATCGGTCGATCTAGTGATGGACTACACGTGGGTGTGTTGATTGAGGTCAAAATCTAATAAAAAAATCATCAATTAAGGCTTAAAAATTTTAGTCGTGTAAACGGGTAATCGAGTATGGTTTGATGGGTTAGGGCATGTTTGGCTTTTTTTTTTGTTTGGTTCTTAGTTTTTTTTTTCCGTCGCCCTTTTTTTCCTCCTCTTGCAAATTGGAACCCGAAAGCTTTTTATAGGCCAAAACCTCCTAAAATTTCTACCAAGATCAATCAAAATTCAAATTTTAATTATCAAATTTTAATTTTGAGATTTAATTAGCTAAAAATAAGGAGATTATAGTTCAAAAAGATTTATGAAAGATTTCAATAGATTTTTGAATGATTTTAGGGAGATTTAATATTTTTTTATATTTTGTTTCTTTTTTTCCCCTTTAAAGGAACCCAAAATTGGGTTATGACATAGACCATATGCATCTCAAAACCAAAAGGAGCCGAGGAACAGGAGACCACTACCGACCTTAGCTAGAAGCAAGCACTAGCAGGAACGACGATGCTACGTAAATAGCCAAAGCTAGGAAGCAAGAGCCAAGCAAATACAACAAGCATCGAAGCTCTTTAAAAACGGAGGTTAGCCGAGCAACCATAGTAAGCCGAGCCTCCATGACCATATGACTAGATGCATCCCGAACCCAAAGGAGGTTAGCGCCAGCAGACCATAAACCAAAATACCGGCAAGAACGACAACCCTAGAACATACCTAGGAGAGGCCGACTAAGTAAAGACCCATTAGCCAACATTCAAAATGGTATGATCCTTCTCATGAAATTGAAATATCATGAAGAATAGAATTTGGAACTTCCTAAAGACAGAGTCCTCGGTTGATGGGGTACCATAATAAATTCTCTTATTCCTTTCTTCCCAAATTAAGTATACCGTGATTCCTAGACAGATCTGCGCATACGAGCTTCAAAATTATTCCTTCGGATAGAGAGGCCTCTAATGGCACTTATTAGTGTAGACATGGTTATGTTAATTCACAACCAATACCAAACCTTAGCCCACAAACCGGACATCAAAGGACATTCAAAGAATAGATGGCGATGCGATTCTATAGCAAGCCTACAAAGAGCACACTTGGGATCATCTAGGATAAAGCCAAGGCGGTCAATATTTTTCAGCTTACCTTTAACCACTAGCCATAACATAAATACATGACTCGGTAGAGCCCAATGTTCCCGTACTCCCGGGTCTAGTTGACCAACTCACCCTTAGGCTTAATATTATCATAAGCGTTGTAAGTAAATTGGCCTTGGCTCCAATTTCCCGAGATTGTAACCACCCAAGTTCGATCTCTAAATTTTCCAACAAGCCGATCACGTGTAGATACAATTGCTTTCCATAAAGGTGAAGCAATCTTAGGAGCTTGAACATCCCACACCATTTGGTCATGCAAGTAGAAGTGGTGTACCCATTGAATCTAAATTAAGTCGACTTTAAGATGGATGTCCCAAAGTTGCTTGGCAAGGAAACAAGAATTTAGGGTTTTGAGATCCCATAAGCCCGGATCCCCTTCCTCATTAGGGTAGCAAAGCTGCTTCCAAGCAACTAATGTTAAGTGGCTTTTACTTACATCCCCAGTCCAAAGGAAATTCCTACATATGCGAGTGATACTAGAGAGGACATTAGCCGGGATAGGTAACTTGGTCGCCCAAAATTAAATTATACTAGCCAAAATCGATTTCAAAAGCTCTAGCCTTTTAGCATACGAGAGATGTTTTCCCATCCAAGATTGTATAGCCGATTCCAAGCTCCGTAGTAGAGGAGAGAATTGACTAGCCGAAGCTCGTGAGGGCTTAGAGGAAACCATAGATATCCGAAAGGAAACATACCCTTAGTGAACCCAAGTATCCTATAGGAGGGCTTGCTACCCGAAGTCGCTAACCCCTCCAAAATAAATAAAAGATTTAGCTACGTTGATGGCTAGCCCGTAAGTTCGATCGAAAAGACTTAGATATTGAGTCAAGCACTACACCGATGCTCTATCTCCTCCGTAAAGACGCATAACATTATCGGCAAAACCAATGTGACTAATCCGTTGAACCCCACATTTTGGATGAAACTTGAAATCGGCTCTAGCAGATGATAGCGTAAGCATACGAGAAAAGAATTCCAAGCAAGCTATAAAGAGATAGGGGAAAGAGGATCACCCCGCCGGATACCACTTTTGCCCGAAAAGAAACCAAATAGATTGCCATTAACAGCAATAGAGTGAGAGGAAGATTCAACACATGTCATGACCAGATGAACAAAGGTAGCCAAGAAGCCAAGTCGTAAAATCGGATTTCTCAAGAAGGGCCACTACACGCTTTCATGAAATCAATCTTCAAAAGACATCGTAGGGAAGCTTATTTTCGACCATACTATTGAAGAAGCTTCTAAAGGAGGTGAATGTTATCTATCATCTTTCTCCCTCCCAAGAAAGCATTCCGTATGGGGCTTATAATCTCAAGCAACGCCCGGGCTAATCTGGAAGAGATAAGCTTAGTGATGACTTTATACACAACGTTGCAGTAGGATATCGGTCTAAAATTACTTAGAGAGAAAGCATTTACCGACTTAGGAATCATGGTAATGATAGAATGATTGATCCGTTTAAAGAGCTCGCCGAGGTGAAGAAGTCCTTCACCGCCGCATAAAAATCTATACCCATAATATCCCAAGTGTGTTTGAAAAACTAAGAAAAATACCCATCCGACCCCGGGGCTTTATCATTACCAATCCCAAACGAGTTGCCTTGATGTGCTCATTGGTAACAAGGGTTAGCAACAACTCGAAGCACTAGCATCAAGACATGGCCCACTAGCAATAACTACCGCATCAAGAGGAAGAGTTACCCTAGATAAACCAAGCCGATTCTTAAAGTAGTCAACAAAAATCCCCCCACGGCTGAAGAGAGGTGGTATACCGACCATCATTGCTCCGTATGGCTGCAATAAAATTTCTCTTGTGGCTTTGGCTCATAAGAGTATGGAAGAACCGATCGCCTCTATCACCGTCCTCAAGGAACTTGCATTTGAGTTTCTATGTGAAGTACATCTTCTCCGTCGACTTGAGATTAACCAAAGTTAGTCTCAAAAGCCTCTTCTTCTCGAGAGAAGGGTGTTATCCCCGTCATTATGAAGGGCTTCATTGGTAATGGTCAAGCTCCTCCATCTGTTCCGGTAACCCTTTATGAGATGTGGTCGAAGTGAAGTCTATTCGGATTTTTTAAAGGCCCTTTCAAGAGCTTTAACTTTCGACATAAGATATACATAGGACTTCCTCTAGAGTCACAATGCCAATGTGGTAAGACTGTCTAAAGAAAGCATTCTTGATTAGCCCACATATTGAAAAATTTGAAGCATTTCCAGCGTGGAGGAGGCTGGCTATCCAACTTCACCGAGGCCTAAGCATGGTCCGAGAAAGCTCTCGACGACCCAAAATGAACAAAAGCCGGTCGCTGAAGCATAGACTAATGTGGGTTGACTAAAATGCTATATATGTTCATCCAAACACTCTCATTAGTCCATGTAAAGTGATTACTCGTGTAGTTGAGATCGGTAAGACCAAGATCCAAGCAACAAGTATGAAACTCCAAGGTCTCATATCTAGATACCGCAACACCATTGTGTTTGTTGTCCTATGAGAGGATCGAGTTAAAATCCCCAAGGATAAGCCAAGGGCTATGGGTGTTCCATCGACAAAGGTTATCCCACATCTCCTTTCGTTGAATAAGAGTATTATATCTATATACAAAAGTGGCAAGTAAATCCTATCTAATGGACGAGGCTACCGATTTTAACATATAGCCCTTTGGTAGAAACGACTAGTAAATCAACCGAAACAGATGCCGGATTCCAAAAAAGACCAATACGGGCATTGGAGACCACAGTCGCATTAGAGATAAACTTTCATCGGTTGAATCAAAACCCGTGCATAGAGCTTGGAAAGGCTAAGCTTGGTTTCAACAAAAGCACAAACATCTATCTTCTTCTTCTCATGAGACCAAGTAACCTCATGCCGCTTTAGGGGACTATTTAGAAACCTAACATTCCAACTGGAGATTAAAATACAAGTAGTGGAGGTGTTAGGAACCCCCTTAGCACCACTTTTAGTGCCCTACTCTAACTTCGAGTGGTCATCCGTACGAGCTTTTAGTAAAGACGTTGGCTTCTTGCTTGGCCTCTACAACCCACATTAGCACCTTGGTCAGGGCCGGCGCCCATACTAATTTGACCAGCCTTCAACAACTTTCTTTTCCTTTTCCGAGATGTCATTTCTAGGCCTAGAACCATAAAAGTAGCCGACCTAGATTGCCTACCAATTCTATCGAGTCCGAGTAGAAGTATTTGTCCGAGGCTAAGCTTGGTAGGGTTGTCGAGTCCGAGCTTCGACTTAGCCTCCATCCGTCACACATTCCCTAGAAGCGACAACGACCTCCAAACACACAAGGTCAAGTGAATTAGCCATCGGCAAAAAAGTGGGGGCCCTAGCAGCAGCATCGAGTCCTAACCGATGAAATACACTCACCTTGGCCCGATCTAGATGCTCGCCCCCATTACAACCCCGGCGAGTGGTCCGATTCACCGTAGAAGGTCGCTTACCACAAGAAGCGATGGAGTGCCCCAAAACTCAACAACTCTTGCAATGAGTAGGTAAAGTTTCATATACAACGAGCTTATAAAGATCGAAACCATTGGGAAGCCTAATGTTTACCATTCTCGATAGCTCTCGCATAATATTTAGCTTAACAAAAACTCTAGCATAAGAAATCCTATCCATGGAGGCAATCAATTTATCATATTGAATGGGTTTAGCAAGCAAGCTAGCTATTTTTTGAGAGGCATAGATACGACCAACATTTAGGGAGGAGGTTAGGAAATTTCACCCAAACTAGCACCATCGACATCTCCTCACTAGAAAAATCGAAGAACTCGGCATAGGTCTCGATAGCAAAGGCGGACCAAATATCAAGTATGGGCCGTCATGTAACATAGATAATTTGGTCTCTTCTAAGGCAAATTTGTAAACCAACCAACCCGAGTCATGTATAGATAATTTAGCTTCACATTTCCATGTGTTAGTAATAATCCCTTATAGTGGCCCTAAATCCCGGAGATTTCCCCGCAACATACCCAACCAAACAAGACTTCCATACTTCATATTTTGGGTCATCATCAAGCAATATACAAGTTTTAGTATCGGTTATAGCAGAAACGTGAGTGAGCTTTGGAAATGATTTATCACTACAATTATTAGCAAATAAGTCTCTCCATTTGCCGACAGGGGGTTTAGAGTTAGCTAAAGTGGCGGTAGGTCGAGAACTAGGCCTATTGCTCAAGGATCGGTGAGCTATTCCAAGTAGGAGGAGTGGTAGCAACAATGGACGCATTTTGAGGCGTAACATCGGGAATATACCCTCTAGTCAACCGAGGAAGAAGTAGAGCTAAAGTAGAATGCACACTAATAACGGTAGTGTTTATCAACATTGGAGAGGTAGGAGGTGTCCTAAAGAATTTGGACCATGAGACCAGCCTCCCCATCCGAATCTAAAGAATCGATTTTTGACTTAATGGAATCTCGCTCATTCCGAACAGCTCATCAACCTCCACACAATCACGTGCAGGAGCTAGGTCATAGGAATGGTGAGGGGATGACCCGTTGGAAGTGCCAATTTCACTAGTTAGGGTTGGGCCTAAGCGGTAGAGGGTGGAACTAGATCATTCAAATGATGATCGGAGGCACATGAGCTTCTAGTGGCTATGATTGGAGTCATAGATTCTTGACCTATGGTAGTCCGTGAGGGTTGAGAAGCGATTTCTTTTTCTTTTTTGCCACGAGGGAAAAGGTAGGTGGGTTGGTGGTAAAGAAAGGAAGAGACCGGGTAGGGAAGAGAAGGGAAGGTGAATATGAAGAAAGGAAAGACGAGAGAAAAAGCTAGAACGTGGTGAAGGTGTGAAGGGAAGAGTAGCTCGAACAGTAGCAAACCCTACTATGAGGGAAAGATCTTCATGGGAGGAGGAGAGCGTCTCTCTCTACTTTCTCACTCTAGGGCGAACACTACCGAAAGCTCTTTGTTAGTTAACGTCCATTCTTAATAATGCAACAACTTAGGATATTTAATGATATCATTTAAGTACATTAATATTTGTCTCATATCTTTTTATCAATCATTAATGGAATGCTTATCATATGGACTTCTATATAATTCTATCAAAATATAAATAACAAAAATTAATAGAGAGACTTCTTTTATTAAAAAAAATAAAGAATGCAATATTACAATAAGTCAAACCATCCATAAAAGGTTGGATTTTGAGCACCTACCCTAACAAAAGAGAGGGAGAGAGAGGCGGACGGAGGGGGAGAGAGAGGAAAAGAGGGAGATAGGGGGAGAGAGGGAGAGGATAGAGAGAGAGGGAGAGAGAGTGAGTGGGAGAGGGGGAGATAGAGGGAAAGAGAGAGAAAGGAAGAGGAAGAGGGAGTTAGGAGGAGAGAGGGAGAGGGAGAGTGATGAAGATAAGGGGAGAGAGGGAGAAGAAAAGAGAGAAAGGAAAACAAGGAGAGGAGGAGAGATAGAGAGAGAAAGAAAGAGAGAGAGGAAGGGAGAGGAATAGAAAGTAGGGAGAGAGAGAGAAGAGAGAGGAAGAAAGAGGGAGAAAGGGAGAGGGAGAGGAAGAGAGGAAGAAAGAGGGAGAAAGGGAGAGAGTGAGAAATAGAGATAGAGGGATAGAGAGATTGAGAGAGAGAAAGGAAGAGTGAGGGCGGGAGGGAGAAAGAGAGAAAGAGGAGGGAGAGGAGGAGAGAGGGAGAGGGAGAGAGAAATGAAGGGAGAGCAAGAGGAATGAGAAGGAAACAGAGAGGGAGAGAGAGGATGAGGGGGAGAGAGAGTGAGAGATAAAGGTAGAGAATGAAGGGAGCCAAAGAGAGAGATAGAGAGTGAGAAAGAGAGAAACATAGAGAGAAAAGGAGGGAAATAGTGAGAGAGAGAGAGGAAGAGAGAAAGGAAAAGAGGGAGAATTAGAGAGGGCTAAAGGGGGTAGAGAGAGGGAAAGAGAGTGAGAGAGAATGAGGGGGAGAGAGTGAAAGGGAAAAGGAGGGGGAAATTGAGAAGGTGAGAGAGAGATCGTGAGGGAGAGAGAGAAAGAGATTTGGTTAGAGAGTAGGAGAGATATAGAGAGAGTTAAAGAGGGATAGATAAAATTGAAGGGAGATAGAGGGAGGGAGGGATGGGGAGATAGAGATAAAAGGAAAGAAATAAAGAGGGAGAGAGAGAATAGGGGGAATAAAAGTGAGAGAGGGAAAAAGGACGGGGAGAGGAGGAGAGAGGGAGAGAGAGGTAGAGGGGGAGAGAGAGGGGTGGGGAGAGAGAGGGATGGTGGGGGAAAGGGACAGAGAGGGAGATAAAAGGGGAGAAGGGAGAGAGGGAGAGTGAGAAGGAGGGAGAGAGTAGGAGAGAGAGAGTAGGAGAGAGAGGGAGAGAGAGGAATGAAGGGAAAGAGTGTATGAGAAAGATAAATAGAGAGGGAGAGAGTGAGATTGAGGGAGAGAGCAAGAGAGAGGGAGTGGGAGAGAGGGAGGAAGGAAAAGAGGGAGGGAGGAAGGGAGGGAAAGAGTGTAGGAGAGAGATAAATAGAGAGCGAGTTAAAAAGAAAGAGAGAGAGAGAGAGAGAGGGAGAGAGCAAGAGTGAGGGAGTGAGAGAGAGGGGGAAGAGGCGAGAGGAAGGAAGGGAGGAAGGAGGGGAGGGAAAGAGTGTAGGAGAGAGATAAATAGAGAGTGGGTTAAAATGAAAGAGAGAGAGGGAGAGAGCAAGGAAGAGGGAATGAGAGAGAGGAGGAAAAGATAGAGGAAGAGAGGGATAGAGAGGGAGGGAAAGAGGGAGGGAGAGAGAGGGAGGGAGATAGGGATAGAGAGGATGAGAGAGATGGAGAGAGGGAAGGAGATAGGGATAGAGAGGATGAGAGAAATGGAGAGAAGGAAGTAGTAGAGAGGGGGTGAGAGAGAGACAGAAAGGGATATAAAGAGGGAAGGAGGGAGAGAAGGGGAGAGAAGGTAAATGAGATAGAGAGGGAGAAAGAGGGAAAGGGTGGGAGAGAGGGTAGAAGAGAGAGAGAGAGGACGGGAGAGAGAGAGAGAGCAAGTGAGAGAGGGGGAGTGAGAGAGGGAGAGAGAGAGCGAGTGAGAGAGGGGGAGTGAGAGAGGGAGAGAGTAAGGAGAGAGAGGAGATTAAGGTAGATAAAGAGAAAAAGAGAGAAAGAGGGAAAGGGAGAGAAGTAGAGGGAGGGAGGCCGGGAGAAAGCGAGAGGGATAGTGAGAATGAGAGACAGAGAGAGAGAGAGGAAAGGATAGAGGGAGAGGATAGGAGTAGGAGAGAGATAAAGTGATGGAGAGAGAGAGAGAAAGAGGGAAAGAGAGAAAGAGAGAAAATGGTGAGAGGAGGGAGAGAAAGAGTGAGGAGGAGAGATGGAGAGAAAGAGGGAGAGAGAGGGGGAAAGAGAGAGTGAGAGAGGAGAGAGAGATGGAGAGGGAGAGAAAGTTAAAGAGAGCGAGGGAGAGTAAGGGTAAGAGAGATGAAAGAAGAGAGAGAAAAGGTGAGAGGGGGAGAAAGAGATTGAAGGATAGATGGAGAGTGAGAAGGCTAGGGAGAGAGAGAAGTGAGAGGGAGAGAGTAAGAAAGAGGGAGAGGGAGAAGGAGAGAGAGGGAGATAGAGAGAGTGGGAGAGAGAGAGGGACATTGGAGCATAGAGAGAAAGAAAGAGAGAGAAAGCGAGAGAGGGAAAGAGGTAGGGGAGAGAGAGAGAAAGAGAAAAAAGGGGGTAGAGGGAGAGTAGTGAAGGATCATGCATCCTATGGAGGTACGGAATAAATAAAAATTTTCCTTCATCTAAAAGCACAAGATCGTGCCATTGAATCTACTAATCATACATACATGAATAATAAGATAAAAGTAAAGCATTACCTCTTATAGCACGTATATAAATTCTTTTTCTTTGATTAGCCGTCTAAGTGTCCGACCTCTATTGATGATCCATACAGCCCAAATATCCACAAAAAAGCACTCAAAATTGATGGGGTGCTAGCTCCAACTTTTCCGATTAAATATTTTCTCTTGAAATCAATCCCGAACAACTTTGCGACAACTTTAAATGGCAAGGTAAGAGTATTTCTTGCTAGAGTTTTAGGAGAAAACTATTTTCTCCCTTTTTTCTTTCTTGGCCATGAGCCGTAGATGATTTTAGGGGCTGGCTGAATTTTTTCCTTTTTTTCTCTTTTATTGGTTGAATTTTATCTTATAATTTACTTGGCCAAAAATACTCTTTTTCGATCATCTTCCTCTTTATGTCGTATATCTCCTCCTATTTATAGGGAGAGACTTTTCCTTGTCCTCCGAGGACAAGGAGAGGGCAACCATGAGTCCGTAAAGGACTCTAGGTTGTTGCTTCCTTATCCTCTAAGGATGAGGAGTTATTTTATATGTGAACTACTTGATTATTATCTTTAAAACATTCAACCTTATCCAATAAGGTTAATGTTTATCTTTAGTACATTCATCATTATCCAATAAGGTTGATGTTTATCCTCCCATTAAAAATTATCTTAAGGCTTTTAATTAAACATAATGGGCTAAAACTATTTTAGCCTAATAAATTTATTTGGACTATCCAAATAAATATTCTTAGATAATTTTGGCGGTGGTTCATATTAGGAAGTAATTTTTCAAAATACCTTTTAACCTAATTAGGAAACTCCTTTCCTTTTAGGTTCTTTATTTCCAAATTTCAAACTAACTTCCAAATTAGGAATCCGATTTCTAAAATAGCAAACTTTCCATTTTAGGAAACTTTCCATTTTGGAATCACTTTCCAAAATAGGAAACTTTCATAATTGGGAATTTTTTTCAATATCTTTGCTTCTCATTTGTAATGTGAATACTTGAACTTATGCATGTGACTCCATAACATCCTACATATGTTGACAATGTATCTAGAATAAAAGACTCATCTTTTGTCCGTTGATATATAAATCAAGATTGGCCTCTAACAAGGCATCATGACTACCCAATTCTCTAGGAGGATTAGTTAATCCATTATTACTTTTTACGAGCATGGTTACCATATAATTTAGTCCTTATGTCAACTTATCATAGTCCGATCTTGAACTTAGTTATTAGTCTTGTTCGATTATGATCACACAAGTTTTCTTCGGTTCTCAAATGTTTTAGCTCCTAGAGTAAACCAACTATACTCTATTAATGTACTCCTACTATCCACATAGATTTCTTAAGCAAATATTTATCAAAGTGTAATGTGATAACTTCTTTAGCATACAAGGAATGACATGTCCTATCTTAGTTATACACCTATCTCCGCTGGATTCCTAGTACACCAAAT